CCCCGCGGGCGGAGGGGCACCCCCTCCTGCGCACCCTCGCCCCAGCCCTCGGGGCCCGGGGAGCCGTGGGGGGGTCGGAGGGGGCGCGGGGACGGGGGCACTGGCAGGTGACCCCAGAGCGGAGGACGTCTGCTGGTAAGTCTGGCAGTGCCCGCGCAGGCGCCGGCTCTCTGAGCTGGACGGAGGGATGCGAAGCACCTCCGGCATCGGTGGGAGCGGCGGCACATGGTGCCGGCCCTGGCCTCGGTTTCCCCATAGCCCTGGGCTCTGCCCCCCCTGCCCAGTCCCGGGGGCCGGCAGCCCCTGACCCCCGTCTCTGCTCTCCCGGCTGCAGGACAGCCAGGAGCACAAGATCGTGCTGTACGAAAACCCCAGCTTCACCGGCAAGAAGATCGAAATCATAGACGACGATGTGCCCAGCTTCCACGCACACGGGTACCAGGAGAAGGTCTCATCCGTGCGGGTGCAGAGTGGCACGTGAGTACCAGGGCCGGGGTGGGGGGGCGTTCCGGGCGATGCCAGGGCTGGACAGCCCCCCGGCCGTGCCGTGCCGGGCGATGTTCGGTGAGTGTGTGACCCCCCTGCTTGCCTTGGCAGGTGGGTGGGATACCAGTACCCTGGCTACCGGGGCTACCAGTACCTGTTTGAAAAGGGGGACTACAAGGACAGCTCAGATTTCGGCGCTCAGCACCCCCAGATCCAGTCGGTCAGGCGCATCCGGGACATGCAGTGGCACCAGCGTGGCGCTTACCACCCCACCAACTAGAGCCCCCGGCCCGTGCCGGGGCGCGGGGAGCGGACCAAGCGTTCCCCCGGCCGCCGCTGTGCCCCCGCGGCCTCGCCTCCCGCCTCCCCCCGTGTGATGCACGCGCTGCCGAAGCAACTCAATAAAGCTTGGAGTTTCAAAGTCCCAGCTCTGTCCCTTCATTCCCGGGGCTGCGGAGGGACCCCGGTGTTGCGGTGTGCCTTTCCTGACCCCGCGCTCCTGGGCTGGGGAGGGGGGCCCGTCGCCACACCCTCGATGCTCTCAGTGCCGCAGGCTCTGCCGGCCCACCGAAGTGCCCGGGGGGAGGGAGGTGACCGGGGGCACAGCGGGAGGGACGGGAGCTGCTCACCCCCTGCAGACCTGGGGGTCCGGCCCCCGCGCGGTGGCTCCGGGGCTCAGCCTTGTCGCGGGGTGCACGGCCAGGGGTGAGAGTCGCACCCTGCTGCGGCCGGCAAAGGTTTGCCAAGCCGCTCTCCATCATCTTCCAACAGTCCTGGCTCACGGGGGAGGTCCCAGATGATTGGAAGTTGGCAAATATCACTCCAATCCACAAAAAAGGATGCAAGGCTGACCCTAGTAACTACAGGCCTGTCAGCCTGACCTCGGTGCCTGGCAGAGTTATGGAGCAGATCATCCTGTGTGCAATCA